TACCCGACGAAACGACTTTAAAAAATCATTGTGTAACCTTCTATAAACCCCCGCAAAGAGCTTATATAGTCATAAATAAAATTGTTCAATGCTAGTAATATTCCATCGACCTAATAAACCCCCCCCCCTAATAAAACCTTAATAAAACCCTAACAAACCCTTCGTATAGCCCTCGTATAACCTCATCTCAAAGCCGTCTACTATCTAAATTAAAATCTCCCAAAATATCCATTATTAAAGAATATATAAATAATTCAATTCCTAAAAATATATATATTTATTAATATATATGGTTTCTGTTATTAATATAAAATAATATGCTCAACAATATATATAATAATTATTAATACTATTTAGATATAAAAATTAATTATTAAAATAAAATAAAATAAATAAATCAAATTTACCAATTCCTATATAAGAAAAAATAAAACAAACAAAATACATATCAAAATAACAATTGTATTAAATAATATTTAAAATCCTAAATTCAAATTTATACATTCCAAATCCTATTCCATACCTTTAAAATTAATCCGCAATCATATATATATTTACACAATTATTTCACAGTATTTACGAATATATGGTGAATATATGTTTAATATGCAATAAACAAATATATTAGTTATATTTTGGAATCAAGCCATTGCATCCTGTGCAGCCAGTTTGGCAAATCGTGACTCTGCGTTCTTGATGAGATCCTGTGGTGGTCCTATTTCCGCCAGCTTGCCAGCGTCCAACACACAAACCCTGTCCGAGTACATGATGGTGGAAATTCTGTGCGCGATGCAGAGGACCGTATGATCCTTGAATTCTGTCTTGATGGTGCCCTGAATCAATTCGTCCGTGTCGCGATCCACGGCGGAAGTGGCCTCATCAAGCAGAAGGATCGAGTTGGAGCGAGTGAGCGCTCTGGCAAGGCACATCTGTTGGCGCTGCCCAAGAGAGAAGTTCTTGCCCTGCTCCTGCACCACAGCGTCCAACCCTGAGGGCCCTCCCTCGGATTCCAGGGTCGAGATGTGGTCCGCCAAGTGCGAGCGCTGTAGGGCCTGCCACAGCTTCTGGTCGTTGGACTCGCTCAACGGGTCCAAATTGAAGCGCAAGGTCCCGGAGAAGAGGATGGGATCCTGCGGGATGACCGTCATGCTGTGCCGCAAGCAGTGCAGGCCCAGGGTGTTGATGTCGAGCCCGTCAAGCAAGACGCGGCCGGACTCGATCTCTACGATCCTCAGCAGCACGTTGAGCACAGAGGACTTCCCAGCGCCAGTTCGCCCGCAAATTCCGATCTTCTCTCGAGCCCGCACTTCAAGGCTGAGCCCGTTCAGAACAGTCGGCAGCTCTGGCCTATACCTAACAGGGATCCTTACATTCTACACCTGGACATTGCAACTTGCAAATGGTGGTTTCAACCTTTACTTTGGTGTTGAAAAAGCCACATGTAACTCAAATGGTTGCAACATGGAGATCTTTTGAGGATTGGGTGTTGAAAAAGCAGCATGTAACTCAAATGGATGGGCAACATGGAGATCTTCTAAGGAGCCCTGCCTAAGGAAGATGTCCTGGAACTCAATGCTTCCCTCTCGCGGCCAGGAATTTGGCGTGGGGTCTGAGGGAAGGTGATGCGGCGGCTCCAGGTCCAGGTTCAGATATTCCCGAATCCTTTCCTCGGTTGCTTTCTCCCCTAAAGGTTTAACTGTTGGTAGTCTTATACGGAAAACCCTAAAGTTGTTAACAGAAGTTTCATACTTTACTAGTTTAATACTTAAGTAGTTGGCAAAGAAGTTCTCAAGTCCTAACATCCCTTGGCAAAATGCACCCAAGTGTCCACAGACACAATGCTGGTCTCCCGGTCCGCCGCCATTCGCACCACCCAATTCAGCGCTTGGGTCACAGACAAGGCATAGGACACAGACAGCCCCGCCACACCTGCGCTGATGGTGTGCCGGCCAAGCACTGCCTGGCTTGGTCTTAGAGTCTTAGACCCCCAACATAGACCCCCTGCAAAGCCTGAAATTCTGCTCTGGTTTTCTGAGGGGAAAAATAATCCTTCTACAAAAGGTCAAAAGTTAGAAGATTAAAGGTCGTACCAAAGGTCGCCAAGCTGCCAATGTCCCCGCGCAGCAGGTGATGAGAGCTCCAATGGTCTCCAGTCGCACAGCCAGCCAGCGGTTCGACGAGAAGTTCGAATAGTATGCCCGCATGTTCCTGCTCACCTTTTCCATGTTCTCTGCAACAAAAGTGCGCTGCTGCCCATACGCTCGAATCAAAGCGGTGCCGTCCAGCGTCTCAGAAAAATGGGAGAAAATTGGGGAGCGCAAGTTGGACTCGATGCGCTTGAGTTGCCGGGAAGCAGGAATATAATAGTTCTGCGTCGCGCGGTACACGTACAACAAAGGAATCACTAAGACCAAGAACCAAGGAGTTGCAAAGGAGATGACAACAATGGTACAAATCACCGCAGAGACAACCTGCAGGTATGAATACAGGATGTTCTGCAGCACTTCATCAACCGTGTAAATGTCCTTGGAGAACCGATTGAGCACCCGGCCCAGGGGTGTGGTGTCAAAGAACGTCATGGGCAGCCGGAGGAGAGTGGTCAGCAGTCTGCGGTGAAAAGTCCGTGCTGCCTTCAATGCAGTCAGCCGGAAAAGTGCACTGGTGAGGAAAATGCCCAGGAACGCCTTGGCCCAAGGCAAGTTTCACCAACTCAGCGTTTCTTTGGTAATCGTGCTTGTGCGTGTGCGTATGAGCGTGTGTGGCGCGGTTCTTGTTTGACGCCTCAAAATCTGAAGCTTGATTAAACTTGACGGCACCAGGCTCTTCTCCAGTCAGGTCACTGTCAAGCTCAAGCCAGTGTACCCGATCAGCCCGACCGAGCTGGACACGTAGTTGGGGTTCTGCGGCGAGCTGTGGTCGGACCTCACAAAAGTAAAGCTGAAAGAAACGGCTGTGTTTTCCAATTAGCACCCTCCAAACTGGTAAATGCTGATGCTGATCTCCAAAGCTCCGAAAAACCTCATACCCAACTTGGTCCTTTGCCGAGTGAACCAAACCCGCCTCCCCTTGGTTGCAACCAAGGGACCAATAGGAGATCCAGGCGCTGGCTGCGGCTTGCAGCCCTTGCCCACACAAAACTCCCGACAGGACCGTGACTGCCAGGCACCAGCCGCCAGCTGCTTGGATGTAGGCGGAGTAGACGTCCGCAGGCACGGAGCCCAGTTGCTCCTCCTCCTTTTGCACCAATTTCCCAGCCTCCTTAGCTTGCACGCCTAATGGCCACCGTGTACCCTTTCCAAAACAAAAAAAAAAACCAAACACAAAACCTGTTCAGCGGCCGAGGCTTCGGTGCTCTTAGCCACCGTCATCCCCACCTCCTCGCTGACCTGCCGCGCCAGCGCCGGGGAAGCTTCCGCCAGCGTCAGCTTGGGGAAGCGCTCGCGGAACAGGGGCAGAGAGCCGCAGAAGACCACCTTGACGTCAGAATGGCTCGGAATCCCATGCTACATGCCGCCATGCCCCAACCCAAGACATATCACAACACGGTAAAATGAAACCCATGTCTGAACCAAAGCCAGAACCCAGTAGTGAAATGCTAATCCCAGAACCAAACCCACCCCCACATGAATCAACCATCATGATTCCCCACATTTCCACCCTATGAATAAACTGGGGCATGAATATGGGGTCAGCATTCAGCAATGGTCGTAATCCCAGGATGCTTCAAGAATTCGAAAGAAGGCGAAGGCATCCATTTTGGGCCATTGGGAACTGTCCCTTGCGGGATTTAACGTGACTCACCTGAAGGCTTTTCGCTCTCGCGCCTGAGGTTGAACATCCAAGACTTGAAAGGGCGTTCAAGCATGCGGCTCGCTCAAATGAATGGCCCTGCTTTGTTCTTCAAGCTCCCAACTTGTGTTTGGTCCAAGTTGGCCCCAGTCTGGTGATTCACCCAACTCTGCCAAGAACACTGAACGGACAAAACGCCACCGGTGGTGCGAAGCGCCTTGTGCCCATCGACCCAAGCCGACCCCATCCCCTGGCACGTGGCCTGGGGCGTCCCCGTGGCTTCTCTCGGCTCGCTGTCCTCCAGCAGCGAGTTCTCCACCTCCAAGCCCTTGGAGATCACCAAGATTTGGTCCGCAGACTGCACGGCCTCTCGCGTCACCGGCCGAAAAAAAGTTGAAGTCCCTCACCTTCCGAACCAAGTTTTGAGGGCTCAAACCCACACCCATTTCAGGGTGTGTTTTTCTTTAAGGGTGCCCTTTTTGCGGTTCTTTTCAAGGGGGCCCCCTGAATGGACCCAAAATGGCCCCTTGGCAAATGGAAACAAATGGAAACAAAGACTAAAACCTGCGGTTTGCCCCAGCTGTTTGCTTTTGAGCCACGCCCATTTTCCGCTTTTCCCATTAAATTCGATGTCCTCACCTGCACGTGGTGGGTGCACAGCACGATGGAGCTCTTGGCTAGCAGTGGGCTCCGGAACATCTTCAACAGACCTTGGGCCGTGCAAGGCTGACACCAGAACCAGAAGCTCCAATTTTGAGGTGCAGAAACAACATCGGATGGTTCAAACCCAGGCTCAAATGGGGTCAAATGGGGTCAAATGGGGTCAAATGGGGTCAACTGGGGTTGAATGGGATCGAATGGGGTCGAATGGGGTCAAATGCGGGTCAAATACGGGCAATGGCGTCAAATGGGGTCAAACCGTCTTCAACAGAACTGAAAGCTCAAATGGGGTTTAATGGGTGTGGCTCAAAAAGTGGTACCAACATGGCACCAAAAGGTAAATGGAAACAAAGACTACCTGCGTAACCCTAGCTCTGAAATCTTGAGCCACACCCAAATTGAGGTCCAAAGAAAGGTCAAATGGTGGAAACCCAGGGTCCCTCAACTTAGAGCTTGATCTTTGCTATCATCAATTTGGCCAGGGGCGAAGATGTAAGATGTCACCAAGTATTCACCTAGGTACTCTTCGCCACGTGTGAGTCTACCGCACTCAAAGGATCGTCCAAGAGCAGCAAGTCCGCCTGCGAGTACACCGCACGCGCCAGGGAAATCCGCTGCTTCTGACCGCCGGACAAGTTCACACCCTTCTCCCCGATTTCCGTGAGGTCGCCATTGGGCAAGGACTCCAAATCAGGCAGAAGGCAGCAAGCCTTGAGAACTGCATGATATCCTTGGCTGAAAGACTTCTCGGACTTTGTTCGCGATAACCGGAAAAGCTGAAATGAAAACAGGCACCAAAAAGGCCGGGCAGCGGTCCTCTTCGAACTGGCTGTTGAAGATGATGTTATCTTTCCTTTGTTGCTGTTGACCCCTCTGCAAAAAGTGAATCACTTGTGGGTTTAGTGGAAAACCCCTTGATTCCCCCAAAAGTCAAAGTCTAAAGATCCAACCCAATAGCAGTCAAGTTTCAGCGTGGCGTTGCGGATCCAAGACACCTGCGGCACGTAGGCGATGCTGCCGGAGACGCTCAGCTCGCCGGCCACGGGGCTCAAGTCTCCGATGATGGCCTGCAGCAGCCCCGACTTGCCCGCGCCCACGGCGCCCAAGATCACGGTGAGGTGTGCCTGGGCCTGGCCCGGCGCGGGAACTGTGAAGCTGGCGGGGCTCAGCAGAACCGTGCCGTTCGGCCACTTCAAGTCCGCGCTCCGCGCGATGATCGCCGCCTGGCCGGGATTGTCCACACGTCCGGTGATCTCCGGTGAGCAGAGGAACTCCTCCAAACGCCGGAGGGCCACCTTGGCTTCCACCGCGCTGGTGACCGTGTTCGGAAACATGGTCAGCGGAAACCTGAGGACGTTGAAAAGCGACACCGCGGTGAAGGCTGTCGCTGGGGTAAGCTCCCCGTACAATGCCGAATAAACCGCAAAGGTCGCCAGGGCGGTCAGGATGGGGGCAGTGGCCCACATGGCCGAGCTGATGATGTTGAGGATCTGATACTTGCGAAGCTGCTTCAGCTCCCGCTCTCGGATGCCATCCAAGCGAGCTTCGAAGGAGTCCTCCCAGCCATACATCTTCAGCAGGCGAATGGATCCGAAGGCCTCGTTGGTGACTTTGATCCTCTCGTCTTTGATCGACATGAGCGCTCTCTGCGCAAGCCGGATGCGTCGAGCGACCACAGTCACTGCAGGGATCTGCAAAAGCATCACCATAACACCCGCCACGGTGGCCCAACCAACCACCCAATGCAGGAAGATCAGGGTGATGACAATTTGATAAGGACCACTCCACAGGGTATGCAGGTAAGTGGTTGTATCCTGCAGGGGTTGGGCCAATGCCTCGTTTTAAATATGAATCTCCCTAGTTCAACCGACCTCCCCTTGGCTTCCATTCAAAAAGAGGAGCGGAAAATTGGGTGGTGAACCAATTTGCCCAGCCCATCCTGCAGACGTTGGGAGTCCACGGCCATCAAGTTGACAATCTCCCCTGAGGTGCGTTGGGACTCCTTCCCCGCATCTGCGCCCGGCCCCAGGCGCAAGGCCTTGTGGTACACCAGAGAGATGCAGGCGGCGTTGAAGCGCATCCCGGTGCGGAAGCAGCGGTGGAAGTACTGATGCAGCACCGAGGTCTGCAGGGCCGCGCTGGCGAGCATGAGCGCCACCAAGGCCATGCCCGTGCCGAGCTCGCAGGACTCCCCGGGCTTGCCACAGCGACCCAAGTAGTTCAGCAAGTCTTTGAGGATGTAAGGCCCCACCATTTGCAAAGTGTCATAGAGCAGCTTGAAGAACGCTGCAAACATGAAGGGCGCGCCAAAGGCGCGCCGCAACACCCTTGCCAAGGACTTCTGGTCCTGAGGCTCTGCTTGCCACGCCTCCAACGCTGCTTGGCTGAGCTGCGTTGGCTCGTCATCCGAGCGCAAGGCCAGCAAGTCAGCATCCGTCAGCGACATTTGAGCGCGCTCGTCGCTCTGCCCCTGTGCTCGCCGGCGCTCGCGCTGATAGCCCTCCGAGATGATGGCTCCAACCCAGCTGAAGGTGACACGCGCCAAGCACCACGCCGCATCCTCGGGGGCGGCACTCGCTTCCGGCCCTGAACCCTCGGCGAACAAAGGCGCTGCCAGCTCGGCCCGCTGAACTCCGCTCATCGCGGAAAGATTGCTTCGCTCAAAGGTGACTTGAACCAAAGGTTCTGCAAACAAAAGCTGAAGGGAGACTTCAACCACGTGATGCGGCGATGCGATTCAATGTGTCAGATCGTTACCAGCTGCGAGCCTTGCAAGCTGGGACTCTTTTGGAGCAAACGCTATGATAGGCTATGTGTAGAAGCCCTCTCTCAGCCGCTTTTCCACATCCTCAGTCATGCATGTTTCGAAGATTCCGCAACGCTACGACCGAGGCCCCGGCTGGCGTTCCGAGCTTGCCTAGTGGTACTACTTGGCCACGGGTGCATAGTCGACCATAGAAGTCCTAAGGCGCCAACTGCAATAGAACAACCCAATATCAATATGGGTATGGGTCAAAATTCAACCAACAGGGCACCGCAGGTCTTAGTCCATGTTTCCATTTGCCAGGGATCCATTTTGGGTGCCTATTTTTGACCCGCAGCCATATCTGTGTGCAAATCTCACCTCTATGCCTAATTTCAGTATGGCCAAGCAGCCCGGTGAAACCTCAAGAGGTCCAACATCTGTCCAGAGTCTCCTGAGAGCAGAACAGAGTGCAGGAATCGGCAGGGCAGGCCAGGAGGCAGCCAAATGCTTCCCAGAAGCTTGTCCACTGAATTTCCCTACGGCCTGGGAGCAGGCATCTGGCAAAAAAAAACTGCAAACAGTTCCCTGCTGACGTCAGAAGACAGCAATGTCCCACGAGAAAAGCATCTGCTCCTGAGGTGCTAGGCTGCACAGCTGCCGGGTATAGGCCAGCCTTGCTCGAGCAGCTCACGCTTCCCCCAGTTCGCCTTTCTGATCATTTCCTGTGCCACGTTCGCCTTCGTTTCAATAATTTCCAACCGCACTTCCAGCGCGCCGCGCTTAAGGCAGGTCCAACGTCGAGCAACAAGGCAGTCGGGGCAATTCCGCGGCCGCTGGATGATGGCTCCACGCCGGACACGGAGGAAGTACGGCAAAGACACGCCTCGCGTGCGCGGGCAAGCGGAAGTACGGCAAAATTGTTCTGGAATTGGGAATGGGTCAAAATCCGCCGACATTGTTCGGCGTGTCGGATACCTAAGAGAGGACTATTGGATACCTAAGAGAGGATAGAGGATAACCCCCCCCTTAGTCCCCCCCCGGGACACGTCAAATACGCATGGTTTTTCGGTCGCCACCCCCCCCCCCTCCCCCGCGTACCGCGCGGCAATTTGATGACGTTCCACTAAACGTAGTCTTCGGGGAGCGGGTCTGGAGAAACGGGGGTCCCAGGCTCGAATCCTCCCGCCGCCTCTTTCTGCCGGCTGAGGTTTTGTGCTGCCTTTTGCGGAAAACTTTGAGACACACGGTGTTCGGTGTTTTTCCTTTGCTGACACCATTGAAAAAAACATTGTGTTTTCCGATTTCCTTGACAATTGGCACCAATTTCCCCCCAATTTCCCCTAATTTCCCCCAATGCTTCCCCGCAAATTGCGCCTTACTTTCTCACCAATTCCCTCCCACTTTCCTTTCAATTTCCATCCGACTTCCCCCCAATTTCCCCCCCAGTTTCCCCCAAATGTCCTGGCAAATTCCCCAACCCCAGCTTCCTTCCAAGTGTCGCCCCCAATGTCCTTCGTGTCGGATGGAGGATGGGGGAACCAGAGAGGACAGAAGAGCATACTAGGGGGACACAAGCGAGAGGAAGAAGGAGACAAGCTAGATGCCAATGTCGGCGGACTGAGCCGGAGGCTCTAAAGTTAAACCAACAGGGAACCACAGGTTTTGGTCCATGTTTCCATTTGCCAGGGTCATTTTGGGTACCTTATTTTTGACCCACAGCCATTTCAGCAGTTACGTTCTGCGCGCAATGCAGCCGAAGCGCGGCAACCCTGCCTCAGGCGAGCCCCTGAAACGCCGTGCACCAAGGCCACGTAAAGGCCAGCGGTGGCCACGGCCAGTGCCGTCCCGGCGAAAACTAAGACGTCTCCTCAGCTGGCGGTGGTTGTCAAAAATGGGTAACCCCAAAATGGGTTGCCCTGGCAAATGGAACCAAGGACTAAAACCTGTGGTCCATATCCTGGTGGTTAAATTTTGACCCATACCCAGCTGAAACAAGCGCCTGGACCTTGCCAGGGCCAAACCTGGTTGTGTCTCTGCCCTCACAACGGGTGGCTTCCCTTTGATGTCCTCTCAAACCAACACCAAGAGGAGTATCCGAAAGACAAGGCTCCAATGGCGTCCTTTCACTTTTAGTGATTTTATCCTCGCATCCTCACAACACAAACATGCCATGACACTACGGTTCGCATGCTGGTGCAACCAGGTGTCTGTCCGGATCAAGCAGCTCTTCCACGAAAGAGTTTTTGACGCTGTGGAAGGGTGATGCCATCCTCAACTCGCTGAATCGTTGTCGAATCTGGAAAATGAAATGCCTTCGGCAATGAAATGCCTTTGGCAAAGTTCTTAGCTGAACTCTGGTTGCAGAAGAAGAAAAGAAGGCGCTAGAACGCGTCGAGAGCTCAAAAACACAAAAGGCCGCCAACACGAGCCCCACAGGGTCCGTTGTTCAGCGTTCCTCTACTGGGTGCAGGAAGAAGTTACTCTTACTGGCGCTGATTTGGAGTCCTCTCAAAAAAACTAGAAGGCCGGGTGGTCCGAAATCGTAACCTATATTGAGCACGTTCAGTGTTGCAAATGTTCGAGCCGTAGTTGCAAGAGTCTCTCTGAAAGCCTCTCTGCACAAAGTCTCCGCGTAAGTTTCTCTGCGCGGAGTGCTGCATGCAAGTTCTCTGCGATAGTGGCCTCTGCGCAAGTTCGCTCTGTAAGATCTCTTACCCAAGCTCTCTGCGCAAGCTTCTCTGCGCAAGCTGTCTGCAAGTCTCTTCGCAAGTCTTTTTCGCAGCAGGGTATTGAAGCAAGTTTTGCTGGGCGAGCTATCGGCGCAAGCTTCTCTGCACAAGTCTCTGTGCAAGTGTTTCTCTGCGCAATCCCCCTGCGCAACTATCGCCATGCAAGTTGCTCTGCGCAAGTATGTGCATGCATTGTTCTCAATGTGTTCTCAACACAAATACCGCAAAAGTTGCACATCGACCACGCTGATACCCGCAGATGGTCGAGCGGGTTATGCTAAGTAGCATTTTTGAGCCAAAATCTCTCGTCGCGCAGGTTCGCTCGCGCAATTCGCGGCCGCATTCTCTCGCGCTACTTGCTGCGCGCAGGGTGTCAGCCCGGTGCACTTCGAACTCCTTGCCCCAGAAAGTTTTAACATAAAAACGGTCTGGTGACACTGGGAAACAAAGCTTCACTTGCACCATGAACACGTTGCATGGAGACCTGAGGAACTTAAGGCAGCTGCGGATAAGACTTGCCTCATGTTCGGGGAACTCCTCGAGCAACCTTCAGAATGAGCAATGCGATGAAGCGATTAAAGAGCAATGGAATCCACGGTCGAGACAAAGCAAAAAGACACAGGACCAGGACAAGTGATTGGGAGCAAGCTCTTGATAGCAAGTGAACTTGAGAAAATATGTGATGGGAGAATCTCGAGATCCTGGAAGTCAAAGTATTGGAGAAGGAAAATCTCGGCGGCATAAGGCATACCTCCACAATAATGTTGGTGGAGGGCTTGATGAGAACAAGCTCGTGACTCAGTTTTTGAGGAACGCATTAGAAACAAGTCGACGACACAAAGAAATCTTGCCAGCAGCACACATGAAGCTGGAAGGATGGAGCGGGCCTGAATTCTAATCTATCTTTGCTGGATTCCGCAAGCATGCAACCCTCTAAATTGGGCAGATTTACAGCAATGTCCCGAAAACATAGTACATCTTTGCGACATGTTTCGTTCCTCAAAAAGGACATGGGAAGATTGGGTTGTCCCTCCAATTTGCTTCGGACGTCTGTTTGGTCCTCCGCAAACCTATCAGCTATGGGGTCCCAGGCGCATGGCGGGCCACGACCCGACGGGCATCACCGTGAGCAAGCCCAGATCCACATGCCAGCAAGCGCCAGCATCTCAGGGCCAATTTAACAGGGGTGGGCTACTTCCAGGGGTTACCCTCAGATGCCCAGTGGATTTCCATGGAAAAAAGAGGGCGTCCTTTTTTTGGTTGGTTGACTTTCAAGGGGAAGCCTTGCCCCAACAAGCAAAAAAGGGCGCCACTGGGCAACTGGAGGTTGATCACACATTTCACGTGAGGCAAATGATTGGAAACTACCGGCAAAGGACTTTTGCACACAGACACACACACACACACACCTGTTTGTTCTCTCTTATCAAGAAGAGGGACAGGCCAAGGCGTCCCCAATGTGAGTCGCGGTCAAAATTGCTGCGACCATGCCATGCGCGAGTCCCCCTATTTGTTGTTGGAGAAAAAAATAGTGAGTTCCCGCATGACCCTCCCAAATGAAAAATCGACTGCTGGCAGTGCCCTCCACAACGGGTCAACGGATCACACGCTTTGACCGAACCTCGATTCTTTCTGGGAACGGCTGGAGCTTGGCCTAGATGCCGCGCACAAGGAGAGAGGCTCTTGAACCGGGCAAGTCATCCCTCCACTTAGTTTGAGATCGCCGAACTGCGACGCGTTTTTCTGCCACATATTTGACATATGAGTTCTTTTACAAACAATACCCTCCGTCGAAGCTGACAAAAGGGGGTTGGAAGACTTCGTTCCATTTGGATGAGCCGGTTCACTTTCAGAGAGGGCATCAAGCGTTGACGCCGCGCGCCCATGTCTCCTATCTATAAGCGCGCCTCGTGCTCACTTGTCAAAGTACATAAATCTGCAAAGATGCGTTCGCGACTTTTGCTATGCAACCTGGCCTCCATCAGTGTTGTACAAGTTTGCTCGCAGAAAGCTGGGCTCCTGTCAGGGTTCCTTTGCCGCGCCCTTCCCATCCACCAACGTCAAACACGCCACACCGTCCCTCTAGAGAAAAATTGTCTTCCAAAAACCCCCCAAAAAGCCTTTGCTAAGCTTTCATCCTTTCTACGAGGGCGTCCCTTAAGCGAAAACTTGTTTATACAAAAACTATGGAGACACAAATTACTTCCTGAGTGGATCGGAAAAAACAAGCCCGAGCCTTCTATTGTACCACTAAACTGGTCTTCCCAAAAAGTTTATAAAGCCCGGCAACTCAGCAAGGTGAGAAGGGTATATTTGGCCGTGGCTCAAAACATGCACCCAAAATTCCCCCCCCCCCCCCAAAAAAAAAAAAAAAGTAAATGGAAACCAAAGACGGAACACAAAAAAAGGAAGAAACCATACAACGCGGTTTTGGCCCCAGCAGCTTTCATTTTGAGCCACTTTGCGGCGCTCGATCCCGACCTTGGCCGAGTTCAGCCTCTCCGGGCGATCCGCCACCAGCTCTTCTAGCGGCATCCGCTCGTGCTCCGCGATGGCGCGCAGGCACGTCACGGCCA